ATTGGTACTGAGGTTAATTTTCAAGACAGATCACCGGTTTGTATTAGAATATAGAAAAAAACGATTAAAGCAGCAAAGATGTACAGATAAACATATTATCCTACATTTCTTGTCCACCAATCCTCTGATTGGGTGCTGAAAGCGAGTTTGCAAATGGACAAAAATAATATCGCATAAGCAAGTGTAGGGGATTCTAGGCGAGCTGGTGAAATGGAGCCTTTCTCAGAGCCCGATTTAATCTCACAGGAACCACGTAAAAGAGCGGCAGTGCTGATATTTACCCCACCAGACTAAAAACTCACTGATTTTCCATCTGAGTGTCTGACTTATTGCTGCTAAAATACTGAAAAGGAAAGTTTTGAAACTTAATTAATTTAATTTATCCATCAGTTCTTCTTCCGGAACCACTTCTCCAGGACAGGGTTGTGGCAGTTTATTAATATATTTACTAATCAAAATCATGCATCAAACTACTATATATTGTCTACTATCTGTTAAGCAGTTAATACAGCTTCAGACATTGCATGGACGGTGATGCTGAGAATGTCAGGGCTATAAGTGGTGGGATGCGTGTGTTTGGTGCCACTCGGCCGTCACTCACAAGGAACCATCTGCAGCCTCTCCAAGCATGCCGCGCGCACGATGGCCTTTTCACGCCCAAAGGAGGCCATTCTTCTGCTGATCACGTCTATCCCACAACGTGAGGCTCTCTGTGTGAATGAGCCACATCACTCCTTGATGTGCAGGAACAGACCGGGGCTGGCGGGGGCCTTTTTTCCAGCATGGCGATGTGGCACCTGCTGATGTTCCATGGCTGTTTCACACGCGTTCATTTTCGCATGCTCTTATATTCACACAGCAGTCCTACTAGACATTATCAGCTTAAACTAAATGTTTATGCATTTCTTATTGAGAAATGTTTATGAATTACTTCTCTAACAGCTGAAAATGAGATCTCTGAAATCTACTTTGTCAGCTGGATTCTGGAACCACAGCAGAGCCAGAAGGCACATATGCAAAAAATATGATCATGTGACCCAGTGTCCAGCTTCTGCCTGATTTGATCTTACGAGTGTCTTAGATCGAGTGTTGCTGGTAGAGGAGTGTTTGAAGGATTGGCTGTATTCAACGATACAATGTATAAGGATTAGGGCATAACCAACAAGGTATAGAAAGGTTAGGGTACAGAGGTCATATAGTATATGGTATATAAGTGATACAGTGTATAACCGATATGGTATATAAGCAATACAGTGTATAATTGAAATAGTTTATAAGTGATATGGTGTATAATAATTGATACAGTATATAATCCATACAACATATAGGCAATATGTTATATGTTATATTGGTGTAATTGATATGGTATATAATCAATATGGTATATTAGGGCTAGTATATACAAGTGATACAGTGTATAAGTGATATGGTGCAGAAGTGATACAGTATGTATGGTATATGGTGTAGCACAATGTCTTACAGGAGTTATTTGTGTCCCAGAGATTTAGTTTCAGTACTAAGAAGCACTAAAGATTACGCCAGCTACTTTGCACAAATTCTCAGTCTTCCTCTGACCGTATAATTAACCCCCAGGCTAATTAGCAAATTAAAATCCTTTCCTTTACTCTTGGCCTAATGTGCTGTTCGGACCGTGACTGTGCGCGCGCAGCGATGCGTCCCCTTACGACGCCCCGATTGATGTGAAACGCCGAGACTCTAATAAGGCCTCCAGTCTCCCTGCCGGATAAGGACTCACCGCTAACAAGGGGATTTTAAAATTCAGAATCTGACCCGAGTCGGCAGGGGGAGATGTGAGGGCTGTCAATTAAGGAGAAAATCAGAAGGCTGAAGAATGAGACGAGGGAGCTCGTCATGTGGTAACGGCTGCTCAGAAATCCAGAGCCCGGAGGCGTGGCGAGAAGACCATGGCCGCTTGCCAGAAGATAATACACTCACTGGAGACGCCAACTCGCCTTTACAGGATCTAGACTCTGGAGCACTTTGTGAATTATTCACGAGAAATTGCAGCTGGGGTGGGTCTGCCAGCCACTTCTCCTCCTCGCAGATGGACTGCTGTGCTCTGCTACTGAAGCAGGAGGGGGTGACAATTAGCCTTGAGACAGCCTGGTTGTGGACAGGAGGATTTCACAGCATCTCCTGTCCTCAGACTCCCGGCCTGAGACTGGGCTGAGCAGCGTTCTCCGTTAATAGCAGAAAGCTTGTGGATATTATGGCAGCTCTACCTGCCAGGGCCCGTGTGGGAGGTGTTCCACGGAGGCGGGTACCACAGCCCCCGCAGTCCAGGTTGTTAAAACACCACTTTAGCACAACACAATCCCTCTGATTTCAAAGATGGGTGCTGGCAACCTCCCACGCCCACCTGCACTCCTCTGCTTGTGGGTTTGTCTCAGACCGAGACCATCTCCATCGTCCTCTTCTTCCTAACTCTGAGGCATCATTAAATGGCACTCACACGCTTGAGGTTTCCTATAACGGTATATAAGAGCGATGAGTAGTTGTTTTGTTTCGTCTGTGGTCCTTTCCCAGGATCGATAAAACTACTAAAAAACAAAAGGAAAAAGAAGGATCGACACATCGCCTTTGTTTTAAAGCAGCAGATCAGCGTGACTCTCGCCGTTTTGACTCTTGTGTGAGCAGGTTGAGAAGGTTAAGGGCCTTTTATTGCTAGGAACATCTTTAGAATTGGTCAAAAGCCAGGTAGTCAACAGAGATGAGTCACAGAGCGAAAAATCTAAACTTTCCTCTGTCAGTAGGTGGTCCGGTGGCTGAGGAGCACAGGCTTACAGAGTCATGTCCTGGGGACGGTAGGCAGCAATGGCCACCAGCAGGGAGCCTCAGAACTGCTTCACCAGCTTTTCTGATACTGTGTCTCTGTCCTCCAGGCCCCAGCCGCAGAAGCTCCAAAGCATTCAGCAGAACCACCGGCCCAAGGGTCGGCCACAGAATACAAGACAGAGACTACCTGGGCTGGATGGACTTTGGGCGTCGGAGCGCTGAGGAGTATGAGTACTCGTCATGAGTGTATTGGTACTCAGAGTACTCAGAGTACTCGGAGAAACGGAGATCACTTTCATCCCACGTCCCCAACGTTGGAATCCACGACACATCTATCATCAACCCGTCCGATGATCTGTTTGTAGTACTAAGATATACAAACACAACAGAAAAAAATAAGGCTTTTTTTGTTTTCCTTGAGTTTTTCCACATTGTTAATTCTACATAGAGATACCATTCTACTGATATTGGACACATATGATATCAAATATTGTGCTGTGATCAGAGAGTGTTGTGTGTATGAGAATAAATGAGTCCAGCGTGTCTGGCATTAACCACAAATGCACTATGCATTCACTAGTGTTTGGTGTTAATGTTTGCGTCCCGGCAGTGTTGTCTGATGGCCTTGGACATGTGCAGACTTCATTTCCAGTGATGAAAGTCACCCTCCCAGAGAAGCGCACGTCTGCCCTGGGCACATCGCTGTCTGGCAGACACATATTAGTGAGTAATATTTGTGCTGAAGAGCCACAATGGGGACCACACACGCTCATTATTTAAACATAACTTCCGAGAAACATTACAAAGCTGTGCTCATACAGATCGGCAAATGTGGGAAATGTGGTGAGATGTGATTGACTTCAGGGAGAACGTATTGGGCCTGGGATTAGAGACACGACTCAGACATCCATGGCTGACGGTGGTGCGGCTTGCCGCTGTTCCCTCAAGTACCATTAGGGGGCAGCATTCATTCTGATAAAATGACACTCACCTGTGCTCGAAAAAACCAACAAGACTCCGTCATATAATAAGAACGTTGATGGAAAAAGTGCCGGTGGCTTCTCAGGAGACCAGCAGAACTAACATTGGAGTCTGATCTCCGAGCCAGATGGACTGGTACCCGACCAATGGGATCCTGGCGAGATACTTAGCAGCAGTAAAAGCAGGATGGAAAGGAGATCGTCTGGTAGGAAAGGTAATTCAGTCTGTGTGGATTCCTCCAGTCGCCATGTGACCCACAGTGTTAAGGTCCAATGACGTAACCGCAGTTCACACGCGCACACACACAGGTACAAGAAAGGCTAACACGCATACAAGAGACGCAACAGAGCCAGACATATTCTTTGCTACACTACAACTGCATGAGCTATAGATGACTGGGTCATGGTTAATTCTTAATAATTATGTTGTATCAACATTTTTATAGACCATTTTAACTCAAAATTACTTTTTCGTAGCTTACTGCTAAATAAAGCCAATTACTTAAAGACTGAGACAGCTGTAAATCAAGTCGTTCGTTCTCACAGCCACAAGCACTTCAAAATTCCCCCAAAGCAGTTTTTGACAACACAACCTTTTATTGCATTAGAAATGTAAAGGACATTTTATTTGAATGCTATTGCACATCCCAGTAGGCTGTAATTTGATGTAACAAAAAAAAAATAAGCAAACAAAAAATGCATTGAATCATCTTCCTTAAATGCCTAAAAAGGCACTTACTCCAAACCACTAACTCGGGGCTCAGAAATGATCTTCTGCCACCTGGTGGTGAACACTCATCATTGCAAGTTCATCCACTAAATTCCATCACCATTATCGCTTAAACCCAACTGGGGTCACGGGACCGGGAACAAGGGGCACAGGCAGGAACCAACCCTGGGAAGTCACAAACACACTACAGGGCGGGCGCACACACACACAC